GAGATGTGCTCAGGGTTGTCTGGGATAGAGCAGGGAACTGAACCTGGATCTCCTGAGTCCTAAGTTGACATTGGAGCTGACCTTATTGCATGGAGGTTGATACTTGATCAGAGAGAAATTTAGTGTTTTTCCCCTTCCATCCAAATGTCACTCGAACATCAGTAAATCTCTCTTTCAACCTAATCTTGAATCCCAGCTAGCTTCTCAATGTCCCCTCCCCTTCTCTTCTCTCCCCCTCCTCCCCCCCCCATGCGTCTCCAGGCCTCCTGCCTGGATCTTATCCCCTACCTTTTGCTCCCACATCCACCACTTCTTGACCCTGTCTGTAATCATCCATCTTTCCTCCAGCATCCTATGTGGTGCTAGCTTTCCAGAGAGGAGATGTTTGTGTATGTCTGGATGGGGAAAGGCTGCTGTGAAAAGTTGTATGCTGAAAAGCTCTTTGGGGCCGTATGTGGGAGCAGGCTAGAACAGCCCAGTTCAGGGGCAAGAAGTGAGAGTAGAAATGGCAGCCCACAATCCAATAAGTTTTTTTTTGCCTTTTTTGTTCTTTCTTTCAAAAGAGGAGCTGTTTCCACTGTTCTTGTTTTGCAAGGCGAGTCTTAAATTTACCAAAGAAAGGAATTTCCTTTTTATCAACCAATTGCTGATATAATTAGTGCCACAGTGGTTTGCTCTTTGGTGTTAGGGTGATACTTTATCGGTTAATTTGTTTATTGGAATATGTCTTAAATTTTTTTCTGTCCTGAGAAGTACACCCTCATCTGAGGGCAGCATTTGGTCCTTGCTCTCCTCAATACATTGTAGAAGAAAGTAACTTGACAGTAGTTGTGTTACCTACACCTGCTGCTCCCATGGTACTGAGCCAGCAGTAAGAGCAGCACCTTCGAGCAATTTCACATGGAAGCGGTACTAATTAATTTTCTGCACCACAGGACTGGGTTTAGAGTACTAGCTGTTGATGTGGTGCTGGCGAATTCCATTCTGAACCCTGCTGGAGGGGGAAGGGTTTTTGTTTTGCTATACAGCTGGTGTCTCTTTCTTCCAGCAGCAGGCAAAAACTCTAGAGAGGGGGTGGAGTGCCTTTAAGCAGCAAACAAGTCACAGGTAGGGTAGGGGTTGTGAATGCTTGGAGCCAATCTTGATAGGAGTAGCAAAGCTGTTTTCACTGTCACCTCACTGAGTGTGTGTGGGGGTATTGTGGGAACAGCAAGAGGAGAGTTTTATACACATTAATATTTCTGTTTGAATGCAACTTTTGAACACCACATCGAATCAATTCCAAAATTTCTGGGACTGTTCTAATATCAGTGGGCAGAACTCTGGTGATTTTGGTGAAAACCAGAAAGGGGAAATGACGAGATGACAGCCCCGGCTTCTGATTAGCACATCCATCCAGCAAGTTCAGTCATCTCTGTAATTTTCTGTAGATCAAAGAACCAGTTCATGGCTGACATTACAACATTGCTGCATAACTCCATCCCCATCCCAACTCTGCCCCTCCCCCCAATAGAGTTCAACATGTTGATGCCCTGAATGACTTAAGAATGGTGGAGGAAATAAGGATGCACACAGAGACCCTGGGATGGAGGGAGAATAGGGGGCTCTGGCATGAGGGGACAGAGGAATGGGGACATACAGCCCCGAAGGCGAAAATGAAGGATAATGGTATGGGGGATACACAGTGGCATGGAGCAGAGAGAACGGGGGGATCCTGGTATGGGCAGAGGGGAGAAATAAGGGGGACAACGCCCCTGGCATGTGTGTTGGGGCGGGGGTTATAGGGAGTACCTGAAATAAAGGGAATGGGAGGCTGGCACACAGGGAACTTGGGGGTGGGGAATGGAAGAATGCCAGTAGCCCCTTTTGTGTGCAACGAGATCTGCCCATTGAAGCAGAAAAGTCTGCAACTCTATAGGTAGTATAATGTGCTCTGCTTAATCACAGGCTGTGTATGCCATAAGGCTTGCTGGAGTTCAGTAGAAATGATTTATACAATGGATTGAAGATAATTGGGTACAAAACTGAATTAACTTTCTAATAAAATATTAGCAGTAACACAAGGGTTCGCTGTGTGCTATGTTCTTGGTACTGGATCTCAAATTATTGTAGTTGGCTTTCAGAAGTCACACTTGAATGGAGTTATTGTAAAGAATGTTAGGATCTTGAAAAGGAGCAGGTATACCCAAGACAGTGAAAACTTAGGTTTTTTCTATCTCCATTGTTAGGTTAATTTAAATGAAGTCTGTTTTTCCAGGAGACAGATGAGCTCTACATTGTATCACAGTTTTTTGTAGAAGAATGGAGGAAATTTGTAAGGTAAATTGGTTCATATTTTAAATCTTCACTGAACTCCTTTTATTCCTTTTAGGATTATATGTAGTAATTTGACTTTTGGATGATGTTTGTATGGTGCAGTGTAGAATTGTGCTAAAATTAAAATATCTTGCTGTGTAATGACTGACCTTGTGGAAATAAGGAAGCACTGGGATTTTTAAGCTGGTATTGGTTATTATAGGTTCTGAAAAACAGCGAATGTTCATGTTTACTCTGTCTCGAGGAGAAGGTCAAGTTAGATACCAGATTGATTAGTTTGTTCTCATGACTAAAGCTATATCCTGGTCAAAGGACATAACTCAGTCCTGCTTCTGTAGTCTGTCATTAATAGGTGATAATCTCCCTTCAGTGCTAGATACAAGAGTAACATCCCAAGATAAAAAAAAAAACACATATGATTCCCTGAGCCTAGCAGTCTAATACTACTGAATTTTGGCTACTTTTCTATAAAATCACAAATTTAAATACTCTACTTATCTCTCTTCTCAGTGCTATTTGCTGACTTTTGATTTCTTGTTAAGGAGATAGCATAACTGTGTGTGATGTCTAACTAGAGCTCAGTGAAAAATCCCCCCCAAATTATGCTAGTTTTGAATCAGTTTTTCTCACCAAAATGAAAAACCAAAATTAAAATTGTTTGGGTCAAACAAAAGAACATATTGAATGTTGTTTCAAATCAACCTTTTCAAAACAATGTCCATTCAAAACATTTTAAAAAAACACAGGCTGTTTTTGTCTGAAATAATTTGCCAGATTTGACCCACATTCATGAGTAGTTTCCATGCCCATATGTGTATTTTTTAGTAAATGTACTTATCTGCCAAAAAAATTCACTTAGCTCTGTCTAACCGTGCTAAGTACACATTTGTTTTCCCTTCTCCTGTTTGAACAGGAGGCCTACAAGATGCAGTCCTGTATCATCAGTAGGAAACAGTGCTCTTCTCTGCCCACATGGGGGCCTCATGTTCACATTTGCTTCCATGACCAAAGAAGACTCTAAACTGTGAGTTTCTTCTGTTCACTTGTCTTCCTTTGTCAGGTATTTCTCTCTCCGCCTCCAGAAATATATGTGAATCAAATAACTCGTGAGAACAGTACTGTTGATCTCTTTAATTGTAACATTTCCCTCTGAGATATCTCTGTTTTTGAATTACCTTGATGTGAAAACCCCTTTACACCTTTAGATAAATCTTCATGAGGAAAGTACCATACATGTTCAGTGATAAGTGCTCTGCAGAAGCAAGGCTAGCGTTAACGAAAGAAATATGATCAGTAAAGTAAAGTTCATTATTAGGAATTGAATGAGCTCAAGTGAGACTATTATTTGACACTGGAAACTCACTTCCTTACCTTTACCATCAGAATGGACACAGATCTTCTCAAAGCTGATTTCCACAAGACTTATCTTCAAAGTATCAGATACCATCAATGGATTTCATGCTTTGTGGGATTGCTTCTTCAGTGGCACAGAGCCAAATGTAACACATCTTCCACTTTCATACTTTTTCTTCCATCTCAATCCTTCCTCCCTGCATAGTTTTGCTTTAGGTGGTAGAGAGACTATTCTTGTTAACACTTAAAAGGTTCTGAAACCTAGAGCCCAGTGCACTTGTAAGGCTTGTGCAGAGTTTCCTTAATGACGACTAAGCTACACAGCTGTAATTGAATACTTGTGGTTTGGTTTTTCTATGTCATGAAGCATGTTGTGTTTCTTTGCACAGTATAGCTCTAATATGGCCCAGTGAGTGGGAGGCAATACAAAAACTATTTGTTGTGGATCACGTTATCAAAATCATCAGAATGCAAACTGCTGAGACGAGCCCTGAGAGCACGCTTTTCGATTCTGAGCCCAGTAAGTGAGTCTTCTCTTCACCAGTGTCTGTAGAATAGCTTTTCCAACTGGTACTGGCTCCCTTGTGGGGTTTGGAGAGGGAGCTGCCATTTTAGCATACATAGAATTTAAGGGAGGAGTGGAAAAGATAGATGCCAGTTTCTCAGTAACAGCTACAGAGTTTGGAAAATATACCCCCATTGTGCAAGCTACTCTCAATTTAATCATGAAGGTGGTGAATATTTGTAGCAGTGCCTTGTGTAATGTCACTGTCCCCAAAATATCTGTTCGCATTTTAACCATATTTTCCTTGTTTATCCTTCTAGAGCTGTGTCCAGAATGCAGAGAAGGATTGTTATGCCAGCAGCAGAGGGACCTGCGTGAGTACACCCAGGCCACCATCTATGTACATAAAGTGGTGGATAATAAAAAGGTACTGATCCCTCACTGCTGATCTTCACTGAATTTTGTTAAAGGTAAACTGTACTGAGTAGTAGCCAAGATAACTATTTTTATAGCTATCAAATATATATTGGGAAAGAGAATTCCTGTGCTACGTGAGAAATTACTCAGCATTGTTTCTGTGCCTCCATTCTGCAAATGGGGCTCTCAGTGGGAGCTGCTATGTTGAGGATACCTCTTCAGCATAGGTGACTTTTGATGATACTAGAGATGGTTTGAAGCAATCTGCTTGCTTTCTTATTAGAAACTCTTGGAAAAAGCACCAATGCTATTGTAACTCTTCAAACTACTGATTTAAACCAAACCAAAATGTCCTCCTAAATATTAAACTTTCATTACAGTAGATTTGGATGTTTGATATATTTTTTTCCAGTGCTCGCTACTGGTGAGTCGAGATGCTTTTTAAAAATCAAACACAAGTTTAGGTTATAAATTTACTATACCAAAAACCTAAACAGCATTTTACAGGGTAAATAATGGCCCTTGAACTTGCTTTACAAATATCTGAAGGTTCTTACAGTATGCTTCCAGTCTTCTTTTAGGTGTGTTTTAATGTTCTATAGTTCTGGGTGAGAAACCAAGACTCATTATAGGAAAACTCCTCAGATAAGCTGACAAGAGCCAGATGATGGTAGCACGATAGAGGCATTTTAGTGTGGGACGGTCACAGGATTTTGTTGTACTAGGAGTTTTTCAGAGGGCATAGTGAATAGGAGGGACAGATTTTACTGATGCCCATCAGCCCATGAGTTGGGCTAAATGTAGCCCTGCTTCATCAAGCTGTTCAGATTGGGAGTGTGGTGGTTTGAGGATTCAAGGGGAGTGATAGTGCTGGGAAAGGCAAACAGCTGGCTACCGACAGCTCCCTGAAACATGTTTAACTTTTCAGCTGTCAGGAGATTTGTGAACTCAGGCTCTTGTGAAGTGGCTGCACAGTGTATTATGTTCAGTTTGTGACATTTTATTCTATTTTGTTAGAGACAAACTAGCCAGTAACTCTTCTAAAGCATGTTAGGCCTACGTAGGGTAACCTTTCTCTCAAGGTGTGGCTCGAGTGTCTTCTCTGGTGCTAGCAGTGTGGAGAGGCATCTCCCCTCTCTTCACCTGGGTTTGGGTCCTGAGTTCTTTTTTGTGATGCCTGGTGACTCCTCACTGTGCCTGAGACTCAAGAGGTGCTGTCCCTTGGGAAAATGAATAATTCTACCCCGGCCTGCAAGGAGTATAAAACCCAGTACACAAGATACAATAAAATATATAAACAAAAACCCCAGTAAAGGAATGACAAACCCCAAAATAACAGTATAACAAAGAGGACTTCACTGCGAATAGGAAAATTGGATCTGGGGAAGGAAAAGGTTAGGGTTAATTAAAAAATACTGACCAGAACCAACCATTTCCCACCTTCCAACCCTCTCAACTCTTCCTAACCCCCAGCTTCTTCCATGGCACCTGCCCAGGTAGAATGTATGCTGGGAATGAGTCCAGAGATAAGTGCTGTGAGCTTTGGCCACTTAAGAGTGGGCCCTTTTATTGTATCATCTTATTGTGGGGCAGAGTCCTCTGCTGGCTCCCTGATCTGGAGTCCTGTGGAGGTCTCAGTTGGCTCAGTCAGTGGTGTCAGGTCATATTTCTGCCACTTTGGACACTGGTCTCTGTAGGGCTGGAATTGCCTGACCTATGCACTGAATCCCACAGCAGATCAAAGGCTCCCTTTGGGGAGGGGGGGTTAATCAGAGACTTCCTGAGCAGCCCCAGTAAATTGCCTGTCCAGATCACCCCATGTGGAAGCCTCCCTTTTGGCCTCAGTAGGCGTTTCTAGTGCATTCTGCCTCCATGCCTGACTGCAGGCACTGGCTTGCTGCCTTCCTAAACTGTGTCAGGGAGATCTCAGGGACTGACGCCGGTCCGCAGACCGGTCGTTGAGAAGCACTGAGAGGCTCAGTCCACTGTTCCACTAGCCATGTGGGGGTTACACTAGTAGCTGTAAGTGTACAAGCTAGCCCCTGTGGGCGAAGAAGGTGAAATAACTGTTGTTCATTTTATCCCATCTGCTATCAGTTTCAGAGGAAAATAAAGGGAACAGTAAGAATTGTTTTCTTTTGGGTCAGGGCCAGATCCTGGGAGAGGCTCTGCCTTCTGAAGGGTGCTGAGCACCCTCAGTGCCCAGTGAAGTCAATAATAGTTGAATGGCTCAGCTCCTTGCACATTTAAATCTAGCTTTAAATAATGAGTATAAGAGTTAACAGAAGCAGTTAGGGCTCTGATGGCCTGCGCGTTGCTGAAAGTCACAGTTCTCAGGCACAGAGAACTGTCTCTGCCAGAGGGGAGCGGATTTTGAGTACTAGAGTAGAATCTGCATGTAGGTAGATCTGGTGGGACCTTGCAAATTATTTCTAGATGAGATTTTTAATCTACTGGACCTCTACTCAGGAAAGTTTTTTAAATGCCCTTGTACATGATCACATATATAAAAGTCTTAAATTGATGAGAAAAATCATTAGTACCAAAATGTTGTTACTGCCCATTAACATCTGGTGTCATCGCACCAAGGTTTATGGTGTTCCTGGGAGTGACTGCTCACTAAACAGTGGGTATTTTAACTAATAACTTTCTGCAACACAGATTTATTTGGCTTCGTAAATCAATTAAGCTTTATTCGTCACTACACTTGCCTTCAGTTCAGGGCAGATATAGGTACTTAGCAGTAACTAGTATAAATTTAGTTAAAGATATATACTAAAATATATATGTAAATTTAGGGTGGAAGATGGGCAGTTTGTCTCTTCACCTTGCAGCCACGGTTGTATATTCTGTAAACGTCAGAACTTTGATAAACTGCTAATAACTTTGAGACTGCTGCAGTTCATGCTCAGTGTTTAGATGATGTGCCAGTTTCTTTAATTGCAAAATACATGTATGAAGAAGCATACACCTATATGGGTTAGCATGCTCTGAGGCATTCAGGTGGGAGTATGCGTAACTTCCATATTTTCCCTTGAAAATTCCTGCCTCCGACACTATCTGAGGAGCCTAGCACAAGTGTAAATATGTACGTTAGTGTAGGGTAGGTACATTTATCATGAAGTAACATAGGGATAGATATGTATAAATTATTTATCTGTAGCTTACTTACAAATTAACTGCAGACAGACCAATAAATAACTAATGAGCACTTCTGTCAATCTGCTAAATGCAACCACACGACTGACGTGTATGTGTCATTTATGGAGAATATTAGTTTCTCTTTGTTACAGCTCTCTCAACACACTGAGGTTGGGTTGGAGAAAGAGCTGGCTGAAGGGGAAAGAGTTCTGAGCAGCAGATGGTTTCTCCCATTTTAGCCAGAATCCATTAAAAGATCATTTACAAGCTATATGTGCGTTACCAAGCTGTAAGAGACAAAACTCTAGTTTATGTCCTAGGTTGATGCACTCCAAGTATCTGCCTAGGTTAGGGCTTCACAGCGCAGTTGGCGTTTTATCCCCTATGGTTACTTGTCCTTGTGCCCTATTTAAGCTCATTTTATTAAGGTAGCATCCTTAAAAACGCTCTAAAAGCAGCTTGCTAAAAGGCCTGGGACAACCTGAGTTTGTGCTGTTGGAACAGAGTTGCGCAGTATGTGATTTGTGTAACTTCAGGTAATGAAGGAAGCTGCTCCAGAACTGAATGTGAGCAGTTCAGAAGCTGAAGAGGAAAGGGAGGAAGCCAAACCAGAAGGGGAACAGGATCCAGATTTTAACCAGGTAAAGATCTAAAAAGCTGCAAGGTTTGCAGTTTTGAGTTTCCCTCTAGATAGCAAAGTGTCCAGCGCTGACAATACAGCAGTCTTCTTATATTTACCGTTAGCAGTTAAAACCAGAAATATATCAGCTTCTTTATTTTAATCTTATTGTTGTAATACCTTCTTAAAATTTAAATTTCCTTACCCTTTTGTTCCATTTGACAAACCAATTGCTCTTTGCTCTGTGTGTCTCATATGGTTGTGGAGCTAATATTGTTTCGATTAGTTTCCTTGTTAGTACATTTTACGGGGTATTGTGAAAATGTATTAATGTAAAGCACATTTTAAAGCTCTGATAGAAGGTGCTCTCCAGGTTCAAGGTTTTATTAAATTACTGAACGTAGTTTTTGTGAACCCCACAAAAATGGTGGATATTAAGTCATCTTCTTTAAAAGCATTGTAGCCATGTTGGTCCCAGTATATCAGTCACGAAGTAAGTGAAGAAGAGTTCTGTGTAATTTGAAAGTTTGTACCTTTCACCATCAGAAGTTGATCCAATAAAAGATATTACCTCACTTAACTTACCTTCTTGAAAAGAAACTTAGAACCTAGAGGACTTTCATAGGTTTGGAACCTATGAAAATTTGGGCTTAGAATTCTTAAACTTTCCTAGTCCTAGTACATCTGTCCTAACACTGATGCATGCTCTTCTTGGTACCCATATTAATACTGAGGTATTTCCTTCAAGTGGTGGTAACGCATACTGTTGTCTTACCCCTGACTTCGGCAGTGTCTCCCTTCCTGTACTCTTTTTGGAGAGAAGTGGTTGCTACAACGTTAAATATTTAACACGTTGAAAAGTGGTTCAGTACTCCATGCTGTTCTCAAGTTAAAAATGGAAATGTGGATATCTTTGAGCAAGTCCTTCAGTACTTGCAACCTCTCTGATGCCTGTGTGCGTCAGTTGATTATCACAGATGTACTTTAATATTTTGTGGCTTCTCTTGCTTAAATAGCTTATTTACAAGGCCACCTGGGCAAGAAGCAGATTGAAGAATTTGCATTGTCCATGAATTCAGTAAGCAAACTTCCTATTTCTGACCCTTGTTCCTAGACTAATGGTGGTGCGAAACGACAGAAGATATCCCACCAGAACTACATTGTTTATCAAAAGCAAGGCATCAGACGGAGCACGCGACACAGAAAAGTCAGAGGGGAAAAGGCACTACTTGTTTCTGCCAACCAGACATTGAAAGAGCTGAAAATACAGGTGAGGAACTTCCTTTGTTCCTAAAAACAGTGTTCTCCTCTGCTGTCATGTATGCACGCACACTGGTGACAAGGAAGTAAATCTAGACGTCTTGTACTCCTAGCTGTTGCCATTTATTTTAGATTTTCCTGTGTAAGAACTTATAAAAATACTCCAAGATCTGTCATGGTAACTCACAGCCAAATCTTGTTTCCCACTTCATGGACGAGGAAGGCTCTAAATACAGTAGAACTGTCACATTTCTACACCAGATGGCGGCAGTGCACAAGGGGGCTCTTGCAAAGCACTGCTCAGTGGTTCTCTGTGACGACATAGAAGGGGTGGGGCGGTGGCATCTACAATGATATACTAATCAGTGGCTCTGTTTTGTATGATGTCCTAAGACGCATGTTTTTTGACAGTATTATTGGTGTGTGTAGGACTTATATATTTTGCTTTTGCACAAAATCGGTGTGTTTTATTGTGTTGGCACAGATCATGCACGCATTTTCAGTTGCTCCGTTTGACCAGAATTTGTCAATCGATGGGAAGATACTAAATGATGACACTGCAACACTTGGCGCCCTTGGAGTCATTCCAGAGTCAGTCATTTTATTAAAGGTAATGTGAGAGTTGTGGTGGTCTGCTGAAAGGAAATGCTGACTGGCAACAGAAATGATATCAACTTAGAATTACACTAATACAATATTGAGATTATGCAGTAAAGCATTCGAGTCAGGAAATGTTGCAATTTGAACACTCCTCCTAGGATGCATGCATTGTCTTTATTTGTCTGATGTACGGTATCTGAGAAGTTAATATTTTTTCTACAACTGAAGGTATACGTGTGTAATGAATGTGAAAGCTGCTGTAGCGCATAAGCACAAGGCCATCAGAATTAAGGTTGTGCACTCAACTTTCACACTTAGATTTTTGAGCACTAAACTGTGTAATCTCAGTATAGTTCTTCATACTTAATTTCCTGTCCTCCTTTTTGAGGGAAGAAAAATCTTAAGTTCTATAAAGAGCTGTTGTTGACGGTGAAGGCTAACTAATGCCTTAACTAGTGTCACTAGTAACCTGTGCACTTGTAAGTTTAACAGGTGCCAGTTGGGCAAAGGACAGTAAGTGCTTCCATATCTGTGCATGTACGTGCCTTCGTAAGCATGCAGCACAACAAAATACAATGGCCCCAATTGGCATATGCTTAGTTGACTTCAGTGGGACTAAAGCATGGTAACTTAGGGTAACTTAAACAGCCCTTCATAAACAGAGATACATTACTGAACTGGGGATCCTAAAGCCTCAGAAGTGCTACCAGTCCTCTTTTTATTGTCCCCCAAACCCCACTGGAAAAACTTCTTTGGCAGCAGATATTTCTTTTCTTCTCCAGTCTGTTTAAATGCACATCTGCCAGAGTCTCTTGCTTAGCTAATAGGACTGGTAAACTTCTAGTATTCATGTTGTTTTATAGTTCTGTGTTTGGTTTGTTTTACAGGCTGATGAACCAATTGCAGATTATGCAGCAATGGATGATGTTATGCAAGGTAGAGAGCACTTCATAATTACACTCTAGAAACATTCTTCTTTGTGAAAACACATTATTACCATTGTACTCTTTCCTGGTTGGTTGCTTCAACAAAAATTTATGGTCATGTAATACTGCATTTGGGACAGAAAATGTTAAGCATAAGAGAGGCTTATTTGTGGAGCTGAAGTCACCGTGTAGAAAGGTAGGAGAAATTAGCAAAAGACAGAAGTATTCAAGGTTTCCCTGTAGCCAGCACCTGAAAGTTTTTGAAGCTTGCAATATGCTATAATTCAGACACCTGATTCTTCTCTTAGAAGTCATGTTGTCATTAGAGGTTTCTGATGTGGTATCTTTCCTTTTCAGTTTGTATGCCTGAAGAAGGATTTAAAGGTAAGACACTTATTTCTTCTCCATTTATTTGAACCTACCTTAATTTCATCTTGAATGTGTGTAATCTTCTTTCTTGCTTTCTCACTTACAGGGACTGGTCTTCTTGGACACTAATGTTTTTTTATAACCTCTGGCAGCAGAGAAATGACCAGAAAGGAAGAGGATTTTGACATGGTAGGGCATTAAAGCAAAGGTGGATATAGGACTAAACAGTTGCTTGACTCTTCCAGAAGGCAGAAACCCATTCTGAAATGACTGCCCCAAATGCCTTATGTCAAAGCAGATTGCACTGAAGGGACATCCTGACTTCAAGAGAGCGTTTCAGATTTTATATTTAATAAAACAGAAGTAAAAGTATAGTAGCAGTAACAATATATCATGTTTACAGACAGAAATTTTTAGCTGAGGAAGGGAGAGGCATTCTATTGTTTCCTTGCTCTGATTTCATACCACAGTCATCTGTCCATAAAGAAATAGTATTACAGTAGATCAAAAACATCTTGATCTGTCCTAAAGTAACTCTTTAGAGATAAACCTGCTTACAGATATCCTGTCTTTGATCCACTCTTACTCATTCAGTACAGCATGGAAGTAAAGAGTTTAATTGTGAAGAATGACTAGCTTTTTCAGACTTCATATATGTACCCCAAAATGTAAACTGTGGCTTGCCTGTGAAAGCCTTCTATCAATGGCTCTTCAACACAGAGATAAAGGGGATAAGGAACTGCCTTCTCTGCTGTCTCTGGAGGCTCTATCACATACCCATCCTTTTGCAGTTTCACTTTCAAACTTGAAGATGATCCTAACTTTAATAATCACATGGTCTTTCTCTGTGAAATGTGTTTTTAGAAATGTTGGATATTTTAACAACTTTTGATAACATCTTCTCCAGTATGCTACTGCCAAGAGCCAGAAATCCATTTCCACTCTACTGATCAATTCAGGAATGTTGAATTAATCTTCACTAGAGCATCAGAATCAGAGATACTGTAGGGGGTGAGGTGTCATACTTGGGGCACATTTTTCATGTGAAGAGATTTTCCTTTTGTTTTCAGGAATGCGCTAATTTTTTTTTTTTTTTTTTTACTATCTGTAATTCCCAGAAAGGACCTCTTCCTGACCCTATTAAATATTAGCTGGAAATAGGTTACCACTAAAATATTTAAAAGGACACTGTCAAGGTATCTTTAATAATAAAGTTAAATATTTCCTGGTAGCTTCATGCTCAACTGTGCTCCCTTAGCAAAATAGCCTCTTGCTGAGTTTGGGCTTCGGCAGTGTTTTATTATTGTTTTTAAATTGGCCGTTTAGAGCAAAACTACTGTATTTAACAATCCCATGAGCATTGCAGGCAGATTTGAGGGGTCGGGGTGTGGAGAGTGCAGGGTATATAAAAACATGGGCCCGGTAACCTTGATGGTGTTCTTTTTAACATTTACCTTTTATCAGAATAGTTATAGCTCTCCTTCATAAAATGATTAACCTTTGTTCTTTTTCTCTGTATTGTTTTAATCCATCTTTTTCCTCCCTCCCTCCGAAACCATTTAGGGAAGGTGGTAGGGAATTCAGGCAGCAGGTCTGGACCAGTGAGAGTGGCAAAACAATTGATATAAAATATCCTATTTGGAGCAGTTGTAAAGCCATAAATAATGTCTTGGAAATGAATCAGAAAAGGGGACTTAAAAACTGAGATTATTTCTAATGTATCTTGATTTTGTACTTCAAGATATGGGGTTTGGATCCAATAAAAGGGCTGGATCTTAGAGAGATGAAACAGTGCAGCTGAGCAATTTATTCTTTCCCAAGGTAAAGACTTCAGTAAAAGTTCAATATGCTATTGTTAGTGCTTGATTAAGCAACTCTACTTCCCTTGAAAACAGGCTTGTTTGCCTGAAAGAGATTTTATTCTTCTTTTTAGACTGAAGCACTCACTCATGTACATAGCCCCTGGAAATTTGATATTTTTTTCAATTTGCTGGTTTTTGGGGGGGGTGGGAAGGGGGGCCGTTTTGTTTTTTTATTTTTGTTTTTTTGTTACTAAAGTCTCTTCCTTGAGATTACAATGTTCCAAAACTAAGTCTCTTAAACTTCACAGGGAAGAACTGTAAACCATGATGTATAAGTAGACACAATTACAGAGGTAATGTATAGATGTACCTAATGGCCTTGGTATTGCTGTTTCTTACAGCTGTGCAGGGGAAACAGGTACAAGATGTGATCAAAGGCACATTAACCGTTTTGTCTGTATTTGCAAACATATTGGACTAAAATTGTCATTTGAGCTGTTGAAGCCTTATTAAAGTGCATACACATGGTCTATCTTCTCGTATTTTAATGTATTGCATAAAGCATTTTTCACATTGATTGGTTCAGATATCTTCTGTAAAATTTGTATCTTCTTTTTCTAGCATTTCTGAGAATTCCACAGTTTGAAACTTTTTTCCTATGAGTTGAACGTTCCATAAAGTGGGGAGTTAACAGTTTGATGGCAGGATCAATAGATAACTTTCCTACTGGCTTTATTTTAGTAGTAGAGTAAAAAAACAAGTTTCACATGGGTCTCAGGATATTTAAACTGTAGCAGAACAATCGTACAGATTCCTCTAGTAAGAAGCACTATACGTGTAAACACTTAAGCGCAGTCCAAATTGATTTTCCGATTGTTGACTATTCACCGTTCCCAAATTAATATCAGAGACAGCAGCTTAAATTGAATAATCTTGTTCAGATACTTAGGCATATGGATCTCATCTACCATTAGTTGTATTGCAGAGGCAAAGTTAAGGAGGCACGGAAACATTCCTGTAGTACTAAATACTTCATAGTTGTGAAAGAAGCCATGCTGAGTGAATCCAGAACACAAGTCAGCTCCGTGTAAGTTTATGATTAGATAAGGGGCTTCACATACACAAATCAGACTCCATGTCCAGGAATGGTGTCCCTAGCCTCTGTTTGTCAAAGGATGGAGATGGATGGCAGGAGAGAGATCACTTGATCATTACCTGTTACGTTCACTCCCTCTGGGGCACCTGGCATTGGCCACTGTCAGTAGACAGGATACTGGGCTAGATGGACCTTTGGTCTGACCCAGTACGGCTGTTCTTATGTACTACACCAGAATGACTAGCTTTGCATGTGGTGATGTTTGAGAAACCATAAAGACATAAAAACATCAATAAAACCAGTCTTTCCTCACTCTAGGTCATGTGATCTCTTTGACTATAGCATACCGAGTTAATGGCTCAAGAAGACTACTTTGTGTAGTGTAAACTTTGGCAGCTGTTCTTCTGCAGAAGTGAAAATAACTGATACAGCAATTGTCCTTCATGACAGAGGTGTTTCTATGTCAAGGGAAGATGCACTTAATGCAGGCCAGAACAAAATCCCCTTCAGTCCAGACAGCTGTAGTTTAGAGCATTTCACCTTCTGCATGAGATTCTAAACCAACTGGATGCTCTGTTGTGTACCAAGAAAAATGGCCATAGAAATGGAATGATCTAGTGTCTAACTAAGCATCTATTGTGCTTCTCGTAACTGTGTCTTGGGATGTCTCTCCTCTGCAGGGAGACAGTATTTCTCCTAGTCTTACCCTGTGAAGCACTGCAGTGGGGTATCCCTATGTGCTGCTAGGACTCCAGCGGATCACTATCCATTACAGGTGGGCAGAGTAAAGAAGCTGAGCCCTCATCAAGAGGTGATATTGGTGCAATATTAGCAGCAGTCCCCTGGCCTGCTGTTGAGTGGGATCTCCTGTCAGGCCCACAACACACTTTGCTGCTATTTGTTAGTGTTGGGGGCTGATGGTGGGGTGAAGGTGTTGAGAAGTTTGTGGAAAATGCATATAAAAGAGCTGGAGCTATGTGCAAGCATGTGGGGTTACTTTTGTGTGTCAGCAAAATGTTTTAAAACAACCTGCTGCCTGCAATACAAAATAATGGCAACAAAAACATCAACATGAAATGTCAGTGCTCCACTTCAAATCCCATCCTGGGTATCCTGATGCTGCTGGTAATGGGGGAGGGAAAACTCTGATTAGCTCTACTCAGTGTGACCCGTTGGCCCATGTTTATTGTGTGATCTCTGGGCTTCTGGTGATACTGTCCCAGGGCACTTGTGCCTGCATATTGGCTGATGCCAGTGCTGAGCTCGGGCCTCCCACCAGTTGCCTTTATAGATGCAGCTTTCGATTTCTCTCCCCATCCTCACAATCAGTTTGAGCTTGATCCGTAAATTGCCCACTTCTAATATATAAACAACAGATCTACCATTGATAATCTCGTATAGTAAGCGCATTTGTACTTCCCATATGTCAGGTAGAAAAGAGGGGCTATATCTGAATGGGAAGTGGCAGAAGGAGGGTTTAAAATATTTTAATTTAATGAATGTGTGATGGCATTTGAAGTGAATGTGGGATCTACTGCCCTATTGCACTTCCCATCCCCATCCTGGGTTACCACTTCTGAAAAGCTGTTGCTGCTTGCACTTCCTATTGTGGATCGTGCTTCCACAACTTCCTTTTTTTCATTCAAATACTTACCAATCCCCTCCACCACTCCCTCACCTGTACACCCCTGAGCCTGGACTCCTGCTATAAATGGAACTTGTGTATGTGCACGTTTAACTAACCACTTGCTTGGGCCCTGTGGAAAGGCTGCCAGGAACAGCTGAGCAGATACTTGGGGGTAGATCCCTCTTCCTCACCCTTGCAGAAGCACCCACATCATAAAAGCAGTGGGATGCTAATGAGACCTGCATACTTAGATACTTTGTTCTCTCCCTCATCTCAGCAAGCTCCCTTTAGTTGGATCACTTTCTAAAGAAACCTCTGAGGCAGGCTGTACCCATATGTTCACCCCTTTTACAAGATTATGATAAATTTTGTACAACATATGCTTTGTGAGGTATCATTTGAAAACTCATAATTCACTGATTATTATTATACTGGAAAAATACATGTGGTAACATTGTAAAATCATAAGGTTCCAAGTTTTTAAACTAAAGGCTGGGGGAAAGCTGACAGGTGCAGAGGAGCACGTGATTTGGACAGCAGCATCCCTTAGGGGAGGACCTATTAATGGAGATTCTTTAGGTCTAGTAAGGAGGAGAGGATGGAAGATGATAAAATACAGGCAGGATCTGATAAGAAACAGTCAAATGAAAAAGTCATTCAATTACATCATGTAATGGCAGACAGCTGAAAAGTGACAAGTTTTTAAGTGCTCATATACAAATGCTAGAAATCTAAATAATAAGATGAGTGAACTAGAGTGCCTCGTATTCTATGAGGATATTGATATAATAGGCATCACAGAAACTTGGTGGAATGAGAATAATCAGTAATTATCCTCATTCCACCAGTATGAGGGCACAGTAATAGCAGGGTACAAAATATACCGAAAGGACAGAACAGGTCATGCTGGTGGGGGAGTGGCACTAGATGTGAAAGAACGCAGAGAGTCAAATGAAGCAAAAATCTTAGACGAACCAAACTCTACCATAGAATAGTAATTCCATGCTTGAATAATAAGAATATAGCAGTAGGGAATATACTACAGATCACCTAACCAGGATGGTGATAGTGACTGTGAAATGCTCGGGGAGATTAGAGGGGCTATAAAAATAATAAAATCAATAATAATGGGGGATTTCAACTATCCTCATATTGACTGGGTACATGTCACCTCAGGTCAGGATGCAGAGATAAAGTTGCTTGACACCTTAAATGACTGCTGTAACATTCTATGTCTTGGGGGAGCATCCTGTAACGCCCACATTCTTCATTTATATATAATTGTGATATTGCATCTCAAGCAGGTCGTGTGAGGTATCAGGGGAAAGGTTATGATCTGCTGAAAGTCGTTTATCCATATATGTATATCATTAATGCATATGAAGTTGTGAGAATTGTATTGTATGGTTGTCACTAAAATAATGCTGTGGGTTTGGGAAACGCCTTGATACTGGCTTCTCAGAGACTATGCCAAGGAAAGTAACCAACACCTGAGTGGGTGTCAAACAATCATCAACAGCCATTGTCCAGCAAGGGAGCTACAATTCAGTGACTCACCTGCATAAGGCCACACCAGGGGAATTGCCCAACTTTGCCTGGTGACCGCAATCCCCACCAGACATGCCTGGATTTGTGTTCTCCAGCACATGGGACTGAGGGTATAAAATAGAACACAGGGGTCCCATGCTTGGCCTTTCTCCTGTCCCCATCTATGCTGGAAGCCTCACCTCAGTCCCTGGAAAAATCATGGAGCAGGTCCTCAAGGAATCAATTCTGAAGCACTTAGAGGAGAGGAAAGTGATCAGGAACAGTCAGCATGGATTCACCAAGGGCAAGTCATGCCTGACCAACCTGATTGCCTT